CCCCCCTCTTCTTCGTCTGTGTATGGTTGGGGACTGGCGCATTCTTCCTGTGTGAGCGCCAGGCCCCTTCACACCATGGAGTGATGATGATGATGTATGTTCGGGGCTGCATTGCAATATTGGTTGTTCGGATCATTGGTATCTAAATCTTCCGCTACGCTATCTCGTACTTTGTGAGAGAGGTCGGTTCTTGTTCTGGTCTGCACCTTTACAGTATGCAACAGTTTGGTATCGGAGCATCTCTCTCATTCAGAGGACCCGCTCAATCAAGTAGCCAGCTTGCTTGAACTACTGATTACTCATTAGTAAATCAAGTAGGACTTCGTCAAATCTCTGAAAATTTTCTTCTTTCGCGACAACTATCTGAAAATTTCTGATAATCGCATTTCGTTTTACCTGAAAATTTCTGATATTGGTATTTCGTTTTCACCCAACAAATATCTGAAAATTTCTGATAATCGCATTTCGTTTTATCTGAAAATTCCTGATAGTAGCATTTCGTTTCTCTGATATTCGGATACATAGCTGAAATTTTCTGATGTTAACATTTCGTTTTCTAGGCATATTAGGATAACGATAGAAGTGGTCATATTCTCGGAAAACGGATTTATTCTTTTCTGAAAATCGAATCTCCATTCCATCTCGCAAATTTTTTGAAAAACCGAAATCTTGTGAAGCCGACCAGCTTTCATTAGGCATATTAGGAGGTTGCCATATTCTCAGAAACAGGATTTAGTTCTTTTCTGAAAATCGCATCTCTACTCTATTTCGCAAAAAAAAAAATTTCAAGATCGCATTTGGTGAAAGCCGAAACTTTGCGGAACCTAGCCTAGATCTCGGTCATAGTACTCTTCTGACATGCCTCACTCATAACAGATCCACAGATATACAAAAAAAAAAAAAAGGAAGTAGTCCTCTTTTTTTATTTTTTTTATTTATTTATCTGTTGATTAGGGCCGGGAGGAAAGTATTGTTGGGTTGGTTACCTACCTGCATTTTCCCTCCCACCCACCCCTTTGCATGCATTTCCGGGTTGGTACAGTGCCACGTCAGCAGTGCCACGTCAGCAACAGTGCCACAGTGCCACGTCAGCAGTGCCCCGCCACCATGACGGGCTCAGCTCTGGGCATGCCAGGCCAACTGGCCAACGAGTCCATTGCCGATTACAAACAGCGGTTCCAGACTCAGCTCGCACTGATCGAGGCGGAGGAACAGCGACAGATGGCAGCCGAGGCTGTCCGCCTACAGGCTGAAGTGGCGGCAACAGCTGAGAAGCAGCGACTTCAAGCCGAAGCTGAAACAGATACCCAGGCACGCCGCAAGGAGGCCCAGGATCTGCTACAGCGGCATGCAGCCACCAGCATAGAAAAGCTCAAGTTTTGGCACTTCGAACCATCCGAGAAGCGTGACGACGCGACACCGGAGGAGCAGCACAAGGAATTCATGGCCAAACTCGTGACTAGGTTGGTTTACACTTGTAACCACCTGCAGTCCGAGCTGGCGAACCTCCAGTGGGCCCTACGGAACCACAAGCCTCAGCACGAGGATGCAGCACGGGCACTTGATTCCCGTGTACAGGCCTTGGAGCAAACTGCACCAAGATCGGAGGCTGGCGAATCCAGCAGTGCACCCTCTGCCCGCCAACTGGAGGAACGAGTTGACCACGTAGTCGCAATGCTCGGCGACATCAGTACCTTCGCTGCACCAGCCACCATCAGCAATCAGCTGGACACCTTGAAGACCGAGGTTCAACAACTGCACCAGCTGCCTTACAAGGATGGCAACACTGTGCAGCATTACAAGATGCCGACATTCCAAATCGACAAGTTCGATGATTATACGCATCAAGACCCGGTCTTCTCGTGGGAGGGCTTTACAACGCAACTTCTGATTCTGTTCGTCGCCAAGCACGAGTACATCGCCACGCTGTTCCTCAACTCAAAGGGCGGATGCCAGATCTGGTTGAGCCACCTGGCAACCGTCCACGGCGTCGACATCGCAGATCTGAAAGATAAGATCTCTTGGGAAGAGTTAGCACGGCTACGGAAGAAGCGGTTCATCGTGGACGGCGCCCCGGCACTCGCCATCAACCGCCTCTTCACTATGACGCAAGGCAACACATCGACACGTGACTGGCTCACGGAATGGCAAAAGATCGCGGCAACACCCGATCTTGACTTGTCATTTTCGCATCTGCGCCGCGAGTTCTACAACCGGTCATGTGTTGCCTTGAGCCTTGCACTTGGTGATCGCGAGCAATACGCAACCTTCGATGAAATCATCGACAAGGCAAGGGAGATCATCAAGACAAATAGGGCAGCTGCACACGAGAAATCAGCATGGCAGCCAACCTATGTGGAGAAGGTGAAAACTGGTCCGCGGCCGCAGCATGTCGCTCCAGTTCAATCGGACAACATTGTGGAAGACCCGGCAGCCACCCAAGCTTCACGTGAGGGAGATCAGGTGGCTGTTGTCCAGCCGCGAAGCAACAACAAGTCCCGAGGAAACGGGAAGGCGAAAACCGCACCGCCGGCCGAAAACGGACAGCCAGCACCATGGGTCAAGTTTCACTTAACCGAGGCGGAATACAAGTGGTGCGGTCGCTACGGCTGCTACTATTGGTGCAATTGAGTTCCACGGGAGGTGAGGCAACTCCACCTCCCACTCCATCAGATTCGGCCTCCTACACATCTGGGGAGGATGCGAATGTCGTAAGTTCTCGGTACACTACGAGGACTATGCTGTCCACTTGGTCCCACCGTTGGACCAACCGCTCCACGTGCAAAAATCTACCGCATGCACGGTTTCACTACCATCGGCAACCGAGTTGGCAGCTTGGCAGCTTCGCCACCATCTATAGCCGGGGATTCGACGATATGGTCAAGACTTGAAGAGCTCGACCCGTTGACGTTTGTGGACTTCCAATCGATGCCTCTTCCCCGGTCTGGTCGATTGTCGAAACCGCATTGCAACGTGCTCATGGTACAATTGCGGGATTACTTGCACACTGCAATACCAACTCCTTTGATGGACGCCGGAGTAGAGGTTGTCGACCTTCACGACTACGTTGCGAAGATCGACTGCGAATTTAAGACACAACGGCACGACGACATCGACGCACCATTGTTTTACATACGCATTCAGATCGGAGAGGCGACCTGCAGCACTTTGATCGATTGCGGAGCTACTCGCAACTACATGAGCCAAGACTTTATGGTACGCACAGGCCTTGGGCCACGCGTTCGGAGGAAGTCACAGCCCACGMAAGTCACGTTGGCTGACGGTCACACGCACAASTCAATCGACTGGTGCATTGATGYCGTCCCCGTGTACTTTGCCCCKCATGCAAGCGAGGYCGTGTCCTTCGACATTTTGGACACCAAGTTCGACATGATCTTGGGCATGTCATGGCTGCTAAGCGAGGATCACCCGGTGAACTTCTACCGCCGCACCGTTCACGTTCGTGATCGGAACAGAGTACTAGTCCCATGCACGGTGCCTCCTCCTCACCCTTCGACCGCCGCAAGCATTCGAGCTTCCATCATCAGGGATGACATCGAGGAGATGGGGGTGTGTTTTCTCCACGCCCTCCCGCCCCATGACGCTTCATCGACGGACTCAGCTTCGGACCCACGCATCACCGAGCTTCTCGACGCCTACGGCGACGTGTTCGAAGGCCCGCACGGAGTAGTACCGGATCGGCCCATCCGCCACGAGATCATCCTCGAGGACGGGGCTGTACCTCCGCGTGGTTGCATGTACCGAATGAGCGAAGAAGAGTTAAGTGTGCTACGGGCACATCTCGACGAACTTCTGGAGAAAGGCTGGATTCGGCCTAGCTCATCGCCATACGGTGTTCCCGTTCTCTTCGTTCAGAAGAAGAACAAGGATCTGCGGTTGTGCATCGATCATCGCAAGCTCAACGCGCAAACGATGAAGAACGCCGACCCTCGTCCACGCATCGACGACCTCCTCGAACGGCTGGGCGGCGCCAAGTTCTTCTCCAAGCTAGACCTCAAATCGGGATATCACCAACTCGAGATCCGGCAGGAGGACCGCTACAAGACCGCGTTTAAGACGTGATATGGGCATTTCGAATGATTGGTTATGCCATTTGGCCTGACGAATGCCACGGCCACATTCCAAGTGGCTATGACAACGGAGTTCCGACACACGCTGGATAGATTCGTAATCATCTACCTCGACGACATCTTGATGTACAGTTGGAGTTTGGACGAGCGTGTGGAGCATCTGCGCACCGTTTTGGAGCGTCTACGACAACCCAAGTACAAAGCCAACCTCGACAAATGCGAATTCGCGCGGCAAGAGCTGGAGTACTTGGGACATTATGTGACGCCGCAAGGCATCCGTCCGCTTGCGGACAAGATCGAGGCCATCCGCGTATGGCCCGAGCCCACGAACACCACCGACGTTCGTTCATTCATGGGATTGGTGGGCTACTATCAGCGATTCATCACCGGATACTCAAGGATTGCCGCACCGATGACGAGATTACAATCGCCAAGGGTGCCATTTGTATTCGATGACAACGCACGCCGGTCATTCCAAGCACTTAAGACGGCCATGCTCATGGCACCTGTCCTTAGCATCTATGACCCCACTGTGCCTACGAGAGTGACAACCGACGCTTCCCGCTATGGCATTGGGGCAGTCTTGGAACAACACAACAACGACGACTGGCACCCTGTGGAGTATTTCAGCCACAAAGTGCCTCCCATCAATTAACTTGATGATGCAAGGAAGAAGGAGCTGCTCGCGTTCATGATGGCTCTCAAGCGATGGCGGCACTTCCTCCTTGGGCGTCGTGGTTTCACATGGGTCACGGGCAACAACCCATTGACCTACTACAAGACGCAAGATACAGTGAGCAGCACGATCGGACGATGGATGTACTTCATCGACCAATTTGACTTCACACCGAAACATCTCCCCGGCCTCTCCAATCGCGCAGCAGATGCACTATCGTGAAGACCTGATCTTTACGTTATGACACATCATCCTTTCGCATTTGACGAGGAACTCCAGCGACACTTCATCCGGGGCTATGAGTCTGATCCTGACTTCGCCACGTTGTATGCGCAGCTATCTTCGGATCACCCGCCAGCCAGCCACTATCGCGTTGCCGACGGGTACTTGCTCCTCCACTCGAGAGGCAAGGACTTATTGTGTGTCCCACGAGACCGTCGTCTTCGGACTCGCCTTCTCAGGGAGTACCATGACTCGCGACTCGCCGGCCATTTCGGAGTCAACCGCATTATTGCACGGTTTCGACAACGATTCCGATGGCCCGACCTCGTTACCGCTGTCACTCGGTATTGCGACTCTTGCGAAGTTTGTCGACGAAGCAAGCCCCGCAATCGCAACCCCTACGGCGAGTTGCGCCTGATGCCTATCCCACGGGAACCCGGCCTCTCCATTGCCATGGATGTCACCGAACCATTCCCCCGCGATCGCCTCGGGCACGACGGCATCCTCACGGTCGTGGACCGTTTGAGTAAGTACGCGCGTTTTCTCCCTTGCAAGTACTACTCCACGGCTCCCGAGCTGGCACGCCTCTTGCGCACCGGCTGGATTTGCGGCCACGGTGTACCTGAAGACATAGTTAGCGACCGCGACACTCGCTTCATGTCGGCATTTTGGACTGCTCTCATGCATGAGTCCAGCACGAAGATGAAACCAAGTTCGGCTCGGCATCCACAGATGGACGGGCAAACGGAGCGGGCACATCAAACCGCTTAAATGATGCTTGGTACGCTCATCCGTCCGGACCAGAAAGATTGGGTTGACCGCCTCCCCGACATCGAGTTCGCCTACAACACTTCGGTGCACCCGGCGATCAGCGTGACTCCATTCAAGTTGCACCACGGTGGACGGAAAGGCCATATCTTCGCCGACCTTCTCCTCCCACGACCAGCCGACATCGACACCGCTTGCTCTCCCACTTCCGTCCGGAGGTACAGGGAATTGCTGGCTCAAGCTCGCGCGAGCATGCAAAAGGCTCAAGTCCGCATGCAGCAGCAAGCCAACAGACGTCGCGTGCCATGTCCCATTCGGGCCGGTAATCTGGTTTGTGTCTCCGCGGAAGAGTTTGCACTTGAACAGGACGTTCCACGCAAACTGCTTTCCAAGTGGTTTGGCCCATGGCCCGTAACATCAGCCGTGAGCGATGAGCCCGATGGCCCTTCATTTGTGATCAACATCCCCCCGCATCTGACGGTCCATCCAATCTTTCACGCCTCGAAGTTGGCAACATATACACCAGCTAAGAGCGACGACTTCCCGGGCCGACGATCGCAGGACCCTCCATCCATGGATGGTCATCAGGAAGTTGACCGCGTCATCACGGATCACAAGTACGACAGCAAGCCTCGCCAGTACAAAGCTACAATCAAAGCATGCGATCCCGACGACACTCGGTGGATTTCAGGACCAGATTTGACAGCATCCGAACCGCTGATCTACGCTCACTACGAGCGACAAAGGTTAGCTCAGGGAACGTCATGACCTGCCCCTCCCACCCGGACTGTGGTCCCTCAGGTAAGCTCGGTGTTTCAAGGAGGGGGGTGTGTGGCATATTGCGTAGCCACACGGGCCTGCAGGGCCCGTCCTGCATTCTCAGCCTAAAAGCGTAGAAATAAGGGCTTACAGGCCCCGTGTCGTTTCAGCCTGAAAGACTGAAAACGAGGGCCTGCAGGGCCTATGTCGTTTCAGCCTAAAACAGGGCTTTTCAGCCCTGAGTCTTTTCAGCCTGAAACAGAGGGCCACTTTCGGGCCTTCATAAAATCGTCCTGCCCTATAACTCAGGCAACAAACCAGGGTTTCGGGAACAGGCTAATTTTGGCCTGTTCCCCACGCCTGCCTCAACAGGAGCTGCAGCGCCAGCCCCTGGCTTGCCCTGGCATTGGCAAGAGCAGCCTCCTGGACTGCCTCGCCCTGCAGCTGCAGGCAGTCGCGAGGCAGGCTGAGTAGTACATAGGGAGTTCCCATGCACTTCAAGGGTAGGTAGTTGGACAGAAGGCAGGAGTAGTCTTCGGGATTCGGTTGCAGCACTCTGGAGGAGCGATGCAGGAGCAGCTTAGCGCTAGCAGTAGTCTTCAGCGCTGGGAGCTAGTAGCAGAAGCAGTAGTCTTCAGCGCTGGGCGCTAATAGGTGGTAGTAGTAGTGTTGGGGAGAGATGGCTGGCGGAGGCCGGTGAGACTTACCTGTGGCGCCATAGCTCCAGCTCCATCTTCGAGGTACCTGCATCAAGGCGCCAACTTCACAGGTTAGTACCGGACTAAGAGAGAGAGAGAGAGAGTTCTTCTTCTTCCTCTTCTAAGTCCACCATCTCTTCTTCACCCTCTCACTCCCTGACTTCTCAGTATCAGCAAACTACGACAGAGAGAGAGAGAGTTGTGCCTTGAGACTTGACGACATTGGATCCAAACTCGACATTGGGATTCAGACATTTCGACGAGGGACTATTTGGGCTTGTGCCGAAGACTTGGTGTTGACGACATTCCCATCTTCCCCTCTTCTTCGTCTAAACCCCCTCCTCTTCATCTGTGTATGGTTGGGGACTGGCGCATTCTTCCTGTGTGAGCGCAAGGCCCCTTCACACCATGGAGTGATGATGATGATGTATGTTCGGGGCTGCATTGTAACATTGATTGTTCGGATCATTCGTATCTAAATCTTCAGCTACGCTATCTTGTATTTTGTATGAGAGGTCGGTTCTTGTTCTGGTCTGCACCTTTATTGTATCCAACACTCTCTCTCTCTCTCTCTTTGAGTACCAGGTACTTACTTGTGAAAGGTGTCGCCTTGATGCAGGTAGGAAGACGAAGCTGGAGCGCTGGAGCCGAAAGGGAAGTCCTCAGGTAAGTCCCCTGGCCTCCGCCATTACCCTCTCTCTCTCTCTCTCTCTCTCTCTCTCTCTCTCTCTCTCTCTCTCTCTCTCTCTCTCTCTCTTTCCCCCCTCTGCTGCGGTGTACTGCAACTACGCTGTGCTAGCGCTGAAGCCATATTTCCCTACTGCTATCGTCGACTACCGCTATGATACTTGTGCAAATGCCTGTCCGTCTACACGGGCAGTCCAACTACAAATAGCGTTGGGACTGCTTGGAGGCCGACCATTGGGGCAGGGCCTATGGGCGCCAAACTCAAACCTGTGGCACCAACGGTCTAGGCGCCATCTACTCCAGACCCAAAACAGGTTCTGCGCGAAACTGGGCCTAACTGGGCCTAAATGGCGCTGGGTCCTACCATGAACTTACGGGCCCCAGGTCAAAACGGCTATCCCAGACTAGAGGTAACCCCTACTAACCCCTATGCCTACCTGGTCCAGCCTGGCAGGTCCCGTGTGGTACAGTGTATGCCACAACAACTCTCTAGGGTAGATCCCTTTAGGACCCAGTAGGCCTATGTTATGACCCTGGCCAATTTCGAGATACACATCCACCGGAAAGTACAATGCCATCCAATTGCAGAAAGAAATGAATGAACTTGAGAGGAGAGAGAGAGGATTATTAGAAGGAGGAGTAAGAAAGAAGAAGAAGATGTACACCAGCAAAGACAGTTACAAGGCTCGTCTTCTTCGCCCAACAATCTCCTCCTCCTTATCTCTCCCTTCTCTTATTCATACAAGAAATGATAATACAATGTTCAATGACTGGTCCAGAATCACTGTCCGAGTCCCTCTTCTACTGCAGGTATCACTGAAGGTCCACCATAGCCATGGCCACCCCTCCCAGTCTTCACTCTCATAGGCCGAGGCTATGGCGGACTACTAGGCCTTGCCCAGATGCCCAAAGGACAACCCACAGCAGCTATGGCTGCTCTAGCTCAGGCYGCCATGCCCAACCCTGCCTTGAAGCTTCTTGGTGTGGCTCYCCCCDGCTGGGGACTCCTTGCTGCAGCGCCCACCAAGGTGATGAAGATGGCTGCCACCATAGCCAGGTAAGTACCCCTGGCGCTCCTCCCCCTTCCTTCCTCCTTCCTCCTTCTTCCTCCCTCATGTCCTTCTCCTTCCTCCCCAGCAGCGCTGCTCCAGCTTAGCGCCGCTGCACCAGTGTGTTGCCAAACTTGCACACCGAAAAAGAGGTCGGGTCTTCCGCCTGGCCTGAAGATATAGCGGCCTGCTTCGCCTCTTGGGCGGTGACTTCCAGGGCGCTAGCCTTCCCAAGCAACCGGTACCTCCTCCTCTTTTGGAGGGAAACATCATTGCAGACTCTGATATTGTCCCTACAGGCCCTAGACTCAGACTGGTACCGCTAGACCTAGCCTACACTACCGGCCTCTAAAAATGCCACTTTTGTCTTATTCTGCTCGGCCTCCGGTACCTGCATATTCACCCCCCTGCCGGGTGCGGTACCGGCCTACCCGCTACTTGAGTGCTTTTTCCCTGCTGCAACCCTTCAAAGCCACGGCCACAGGTAAGTACCGGCCCTGAGGGCCCAATGAACGAACAAGTGCCCTAGCGGGCCACACACACACTCATACCAACCAGCACTCAGACAGGCACACTCACACGCACGCAAGCCAACCAGCACTCGACCATACATGCAGTCCAGTGAGCACACACACACAGACTTGGCAGGCGGGAACTCGGTAGGGCATTCGGTCTATGAGCAAAACTCAAAAATCGGATGTGTTACAATCCATGTTTGGACGGGTTATCACACTACACACACTCATACCAACCAGCACTCAGACAGGCACAGTCACACGCACGCAAGCCAACCAGCACTCAGACATACATGCAGTCCAGTGAGCACACACACACAAACTTGGCAGGCGGGAACTCGGTAGGGCATTCGGTCTATGAGCAAAACTCAGAAATCGGATGTGTGCTACAATCCATCTTTGGACGGGTTATCACACTACCCCCCCCTTAAGAGCGAGGTCCCTTCCAGCGAGTAACTCATTCTGAGTCCTCGGCAAACCATCGTAGGCGAGCAAGGCAAAGAGATTCCTGGAATACTCTGTCGCAGTGAGCCTTGCTGAGATGTTTGGTGCGGCGTTAGCAGCGATTTGTCGTTCGTAGGCTTTAACAACGCGCGGTGCGCTGCATAGCAGTTCCTATTTGGAGATCCACTACAGATCGTCTGACGGGTGATACATAAAATGAACCTGGTACTGTCTGTTTCTCCCCTTTCCTACATGCTGTTTGATTCTATCTATCTCATGCCCGCCCTTGATTGCGCGAGGTATCATATCTTCGCGGTAATCGAATGTCTTGGCATCACGGTGGAGATACAATTTAGATGGAACACGGGATATCTGCGCAGGTGAGCAGGCACATCTACAACGTACGAAGGGCCAAAGTGATCTTCCTCAATTATATCCAAACTTCCCAAGGCCCGTAGTAGAGTGGGAGGAGTTTGCGTGAGACTCCCTCCTCCTCTGAGAATTCAGACATCTTCACCCAAACATAGCTTCCTACCTGAATCTCCGATGGTTGGCGTTTTTTCTTCGCATGGTGGATCATGGCATGTTGTCGCTTGGTCATAGCTGCAATAGCAACTTTGAGCAAGCGATCATACTTAGCTCTAAAGTCGGGCCTGCCAGGTGTTAAGCCAGCTGGCTGCTCAAGGAATAAGTAGGAGAGCGGATTACGGATCTGCCAACCGTAATGCAACCTGTTGGGTATCATGGCGGTGGCAGAATGGACGGAGTTGTTGTACAACCCCTTCACAGAATAGAGCTCCTCATCCCATGTCTCCTGGTCCGGAATAATCAACGCGTGGAGAAGTTGAAATACAGTCTGGTTGATCTCCTCAGCCAAACCGTTGGCTTCGGGGTGTCGGCCAGATGTCATGCACAGTTTGATTCCTAGGTGAGACGTGAAATCCTTCCATTCAGTGCGAATGAGACGCGGATCCCGATCGCTCACAAGAGTCTTTGGGGTTCCGAATTGCAGAGAATGTATTTCTGTTGGAATTCACGAATCACTAGATCTGTTGGGGCGTGGGGCGGCAAACGGATCAGATTAAGAAATTTTGAAAATCGGTCAACAATCACCATGAGTTGTGAATAACCGTTTTTGCTCATCTTACCCATGTCAGTGAAGTCGATGGAGACAGACTCCCCGGGACCATCGCGAATGGGTAGGGGTGTGAGTAGCCCCATGGGCTTTTGTCTACATGCTTTGATCCGTTGTCAGACTTGACATTCAGCCACAAACTTCTCAGCAATCCCTTTCATGCCAGGCCAATCAAACTGTCTCACCAAATTAGCGTACGTTTTTGCCATGCCGAAGTGCCCGCTCCAGCCATGAGCCAAATCCAGAAAGTGTGTGCAGAGAGGCTCATGGTTGGGCACACACAAACGGTTATGGTTCCCGTAGCGGCGGAAGATCAGCCCGTAACTACTCAAGGATGGGACTAAAATCCGGATCCTTGGCGGTGTGCTCTACGAGTTCCTCCTTCAGTTTCTTCAGGAGGTCGTAGGACTTAACAAGGCAAGTCATGTATTGTGGGTGGCGAGACAAAGCATCAGCTACTCGGTTATAACAACCTTTCTTATTCCTTAATTCAAAAAAAAAAAAGTCAATCTCGTGGAACCAGCGAAGCAAGGTAGGGGACAGGGTCTCGTGATCTGAGAAGACCTTGAAATGGCGTCCCAAAAGGTAGTGCTTCCAGTGATCCAATGCCATGCGCAAGGCATAAAGCTCGCGCATGTAAGTGGAAGTGGCTACCTTGACGCTGGGCATGCGTTTGCTGTACTATTCGAGTGGGCGTAGGTCGTCGCTGTCGTCTTGCTGCAGCACTGCACCGATTCCATACTGGCTCGTATCCATAGTGACTACGAATGTCAGTTTGGGATCTGCAATGCGGAGTACTGGGTAACTTACCAAGGCTTCCTTGAGAGCTCGAAAAGCTTCCGTACAAGCGACATCAGGAACAAGGCAAATTTTTACTGGTTAGTCGCAACAATGGACGAGCAATGATAGAAAAACGGGGTACAAACTTCCGATAATACGACGCGAGACCAAGGAAAGAACGCAATTCGCGAATGTTCGCAGGTTGAGGCCAATCGCGTACGGCCTCAATCTTGGTTGCTTCAGGCTCTAGGCCTGCAGCAGACAACCGATGCCCAAGATAGATGACACTATTCTTCCCAAACTCAGATTTCTCCAAGTTGAGATGGAGTTGCGTCTTCTTGAGGATAGCGAGCACCTCCTCAAGATGCTTGAGGTGTTCCTCTATGGACTTGCTGAAGATCAGAATATCATCCAGGTACACTACCACAAACCGGCCAATCTGTTCGCAGAGGACCTTGTCCATGAGGCTTTGGAAAGTGGCTGGTGCGTTCGTGAGACCGAAGGGCATTACGGTGAACTCATAAAGTCCGTCGCGTGTTTTGAACGTAGTCTTGTGCTGGTCCGCAGGATCGACTTCAATCTGGTGGTAGCCAGACTTGAGATCGATCTTGGAAAAGACCTTGCACCCACCTGCGCCGTCAAGCAGGTCATTTATGTGGGGCAAAGGGTAGGCGTTCTTTCTTGTGATGCGGTTTAGACCGCGGTAATCAATACGCATGCGGAGTTTGCCTCCCTTTTTATGCACAAACAAAACGGGAGCACCAAGTTCAGATTCACTTGGTTTGATCCACCCTTTGTCAATCATCTCATCGATTTGTCGCCGGAGTTCCTCCAACTCGCCGGGTCCCATACGGTACACGCAGCCCTTTGGAGGAACAGCACCCTCGACCAACTCGATGGTGTGTCGGACCGGTCGCGTGGGGACTCCACGTGGCTCGGTCAGCACTTCTGGAAACCGATCGAGTAGGTTTTGGATGTCTGGTGGGACCGGTGGGGGTGGAGGATCAGTGAAGGGATCACCTAGGTCCGGTCGCAGGTCACGTATAGATACGGCCGAATCTGAAGCAAGGTCATTTGGAGCAATAGAAGGTGGAGAAGTAGAGGCAGTAGTAGTACTAGTAGTAATATTAGAAGTAGATCCACTAGTTGAGGTAGGTAGTAGGACTCCCCGCAAAAGTAGAAGGCACATGGGCAGGACGAACAAAGGCAACATACAACTGTTCGTTCTCCTTGTGCTTGCGCCACTTCTTGCAGAACTTCAATGCATTTAGAAAAGTCACTGGGGATTCGTGCTTCTCATCCAAGAGGACAGGAAGTTCGTTCCCCTGAGCATCTTTGACCATGAAGAGTGACTCCTTCCACTTGGTCCATTCGCATTGCGCTGCAGCCAGCCCAAGGCAAGGACATCGTCGAAGGGGCACTTGTCGAGGACAAAGAAGTTCAATGCGTGGGTGACAGTCTTGCCTTTGTCAAAGGTAGTGCGCACACCTAGGACTGCATGAGTGGTAGAGACAACTTCCTTGTTGCCAACTTGGGTTCGACAAGGGTTCTGCAAAGCCACTTGCTTCATCCCCAAGCCCACCTTGCGTATCCCATGTGGTGACATGAAGTTAGTTGTAGCACCACAGTCAACCAACACACGGAGATAGCGGTGGTTTATGAGAAGTTTAAAGAAGATCAACTTCACTGTCCCTTGGGCACGCTGCTGTTTCATCTCGGCCCAATGCTCCAAATGGTAGTGGAAGTCGACCATCTCAGACTTCTCCCAAGGCTCGTCATACAAAACATTACTTACCTCAGCCTTGTGTTCAGCAGATGGTTGGGCTTCAAGGGAGGGCTGCTGATTTTCAACAGAACCGGACTCCCCTGCTGTAGAGTTTCTTGAAACTGACTCTACGCCCGATTCTGGTTTCCCTGCAGCCTATAACAGTCCTGAACCTTATGATTTGGTTTTTGGCAATGCAGGCAAACCCCTTTCTTGAGTCTGTCCCGCCAATCATTCTCAGTGATCCGGAGGTCAACCCAAGGTTTGGTAGTCGCATCCTCCGGTTTAGGCGGGATCTTGACTCCCTTGGGAAGTTGGACATAATTCTTCCCGGCACTCCGATTCGGTCCCTTGGTACTGGCAGTCTTTTTGAAGGCAGAAAATTTTTCTTCTTSTTTATTTGCATCGGACTCATGGGCTAAAGAACAAGYTGTATCGGAGTCCTGTTCTTGGTCGTCACCAAGAGTGGGGTCATCCGCATCGGCTTCTTCTTYGGCCTCCAGCAGGTCATGCACAACAAAACGGTTGCTGCCCTTGAACCGTCTGCTGCCCATGGGCTTTTTGCTGCCTGCCGTGCTAACGAGGTCTACAGCCTCCAAGCTGACTATGTCCTTCATTAAGGTGAGCCAGTCAGTGTATGCAATGTAGTCCCTGCCCAAGCGATTAGTGAAGTTAGTTGGAACCGCGCCCTTAACCACATCAAAGCAAGACTAAGCAATCAATTCCAAACCAGGTGTAGCAAACATCTTGCTCAGATAGGTCTGCAGGCTTTTCATGGAGCCTGTCCACTTGCTGCGCTTGACTTTGTCAAGTTGGATTCTTGTCCTAGCCGCAGCATGTGGATCCTGATATTGTGAGATAAGGAGATCCTCGAAGGAGGCAACCGGGGTGGTCCTAAGCCATTTGGCTAGTGCAGTCTTTTGGAACCTAGCCCGCGTCGCTTGGACTTCTAGGAAGCCTGGTCCTAAGCCATTTGGCTAGTGTAGTCTTTTGGAACCCAGCCCGCGTCGCTTGGACTTCTAGGAAGCTCCGTACTACCGGCTCGACATTCATTCCCATGATCACTGCCTCGGTCTCAGGCCGAGTTCCCAGAATCTCAAAGTAGGCCCTCATGGAGCCGATCTAGGACTCGATGTCTTCCTTGCCGTCGTACTTAGACGGCATTTGTACCGCCTTTCGGTCCACATAGGGACCGGCGTAGCTGGGACCAGCAACAGCTGGTTCCGATCTTGGGGATGCCGCATTTGCAAAATTCCCTGCCTCACTGCTGATCACAACAGCAACGGAATCTGCACCTGCCGCAGGTCCTGAGGGGGTCGCCATCACATTTGAAGAAGAGGTAGAAGAAGATACGGTGAGAGGGGCAGAGGTAGTTTCGACTGCAGCTTCAGATCGAGGGGCTAGAGGAAGAAGGTTAGCCACTTGGGCTTGTCGCAGCTCAACCACTTCCTTCGTCAATTCATGGTACTTGCGGGTCATATCAGTCAGATCATCTTGAAGTGTCTGCAACTTTGCAAAGACTTCAGCGATCTGAGTGGTATGATCCTCAAGATTCCTGACTTGAACAATGGTTGTGAGTATGGACTGCAACTGTTCCCCACACTGCTCTTCAGTCAGTGAGGGAACAGTCTCTAGGATGGCCACTTGCCTTTTCAGCAGGGTCTCCTTCCTCTCCTTCTCTGCCTCCTGTTCCCTTTTAATTGCACTATCTAAAAGTGCTTTTAGATATGGTTTCTCGGCATCACTGGCTGCATCTAACAAGGCCCGCCATTGCACTGAAGTTAGCTGAGCCATTTTCGGACTGTCAGTATGGACAGGTGGGTCAGAGAGTCGCCAGTCAGCAGAAGAATCAATTAGATTCTCAAGAGGTTCACTCCCCTTCTCACTTGGACGAACACTCCTTTTCCCAGTCCTTGCCCACTTCAGACGGTCACTTTCCCTCTCTCCCTTTTCTCTCTCCCTCCTCTCTCTCTCTTCGTTCTGGTTGCGAGTCTCCACGGGCATCGGAAATGACTCAAAGAAATAAACTGAAAAGCTCAGAGAAGAGAAGGTAGAACTCCTAGCCGAAGCGGCATTTCATTTGGAAGTAGAGAGCAACAAAAACAAACAAACTCAATGAGAGGTCTGATCCAGCGACCCAGTCTGATCAGACTGCATACGAGGTCCTCTCGAGTCCAGTCTGACCAGCTCCGTGACCGTACAACAAATCAGACAACGAGTAACTCAATGCAGCAATGGAGAATTGAGTGGTGTACAGGGTGCGAGTCAAGCCACGGACAGTGCAATCATAAGACATGCGAAACGTCTCAGCCAAGATCCCCTCGGCAGTGGGTGTCCTAATCCAAGAAGAATGAACTCATATCCCAGCCAAGAAGACAAGAGGTCAATGCCTAACTGATTTGGGTCCAGAGGCTCTTCTTGTTTGGGCCCGGTCCCGTTGGGTCCTAGGGGTCCCACGTAGGTCTCAACCAGGTCCCAACCAAGAGGAGTTCCACATGAACTTAGTTCAGTCTCTACTGCACTGAAAAACGAAATTTCAACTTCTGGCAGAACCTACAGACTACAACCGTTCAGTGATGAAAAGACAAAGCACTGTAGAAAGACTCGGCATTTAGATCAAGATACTTCATTTTCCATCCATCAGGTGAGTAGGTAGATCACATGCATTCAGTCACACAATCAAGACCACAGAGGAGTAGGAAAAGAAACCAGAGTACCCCAGCAGGACAATCAATACCATACACACATACATGGGCATCCCGTAGGTGCACGACACTTACCTGAGTGGCCTTGAGCTTCGAGATAAATAGAACTCACCCCCTTCTCATGTGGTCCTCCTGACCCCTCTAACGCTACCCCTACACTAGTGTCCTATCTCCTAGGAGGGTCTGACTCCAACACCCAAGCACAACGCCAGATCCCCCGTCGATGCTGAAGAACAAAGTAGCAACTTGCAGTCCGTTGATGCAGAATGGCCGCTGGCCCTCAAGCTCACCTACTTGAGGGTAGCCCTTAAGTTGCTAAGTGTCTCCCTTGAATCAGATTCCAGGTGCGAGTGCCTCTCACCGTCGCCTCTCTCAAATCGCCGCATGAAGTCTCCTCGAAATGTCTCGCCACCCTAATCTCACTCTCAAGCAACCTGGTTAGGTTCTATGTTGACCCCACATGACCTAACCAGGTGGGGGCAGCTTCCCTTAGCCACGCTGCCCCACTTCCCTCAACCAACCAACCCTAACCCTAAGCGGTGCCCTCAACCACTTAGGTTAGGGTTAGGGCAGCAAAGTCAACTCTCACCAGCAAGTAGAATCCGCTCTGATACCAATGTTATGACCCTGGCCAATTTCGAGATACACATCCACCTGAAAGTACAATGCCATCAAATTGCAGAAAGAAATGAATGATCTTGTGAGGAGAGAGAGAGGGTTAGAAGAAGAAGGAGTAAGAAAGAAGAAGCAGAAGATGTACACCAGCAAAGACAATTACAAGGCTCTTCTTCTTCGCCCAACAATCTCCTCCTCCTTATCTCTCCCTTCTCTTATTCATACAAGAAATAATAATACAATGTTGAATGACTGGTCCAGACTCAATGTCCGAGTCCCTCTTCTACTGCAGGTATCACTCAAGGTCCACCATAGCCATGACCGCCCCTCCCACTCTTCACCCTCATAGGCCAAGGCTATGGCGGACTACTAGGCCTTGCCCAGATGTCCAAAGGACAACCCAAAGCAGCTATGGCTGCTCTAGCTCAGGCTGCCATGCCCAACCCTGCCTTGAAGCTTCTTGGTGTGGCTCTCCCCAGCTGGGGACTCCTTGCTGCAGCGCCCACCAAGGTGATGAAGATGGCTGCCACCATAGCCAGGTAAGTACCCCTGGCGCTCCTCATCCTTGCTTCCTCCTTCCTCCTTCTTCCTCCCTCATGTCCTTCTCCTTCCTCCCCAGCAGCGCTGCTCCAGCTTAGCGCTGCTCCAGCCAGCCCTCCACCAGTGTGTCGCCAAACTTGCACACCAAAAAAGAGGCCAGGTCTTCCGCCCGGCCTGAAGATATAGCAGCCTGCTTTGCCTCTTGGGCGGTGACTTCCAGGCCGCTGGCCTTCCCAAGCAACTGGTACCTCCTCCTCTTTTGGAGGGAAACATCATTGCAGRCTCTGATATTKCCCCTACAGGCCCTAGACTCAGACTGGTACCCGCTAGACTTAGCCTACACTACCGGCCTCTAAAAATGCCACTTTTGTCTTCTTCTGCTCGGCCTCCGGTACCTGCATATTCACCCCCCTGCCGGGTGCGGTACCCGCCTACCCGCTACTTGAGTGCTTTTTCCCTGCTGCAACCCTTCAAAGCCACGGCCACAGGTAAGTACCGGCCCTGAGGGCCCAACGAATGAACAAGTGCCCTGGCGGGCCACACACACACTCATACCAACCAGCACTCAGACAGGCACAGTCACACTCACGCAAGCCAACCAGCACTCAGACAGACATGCAGTCCAGCGAGCACACACACACAGACTTAGCAGGCGGGAACTCAGTAGGGCATTCAGTCTATGAGCAAAACTCAGAAATCGGCTGTGTGTTACAGTCCATGTTTGGACGGGTTATCACACCTACAAAAACTTGGCACAACAAGTGGCGAGCTAGAGTAGCATTCATTCAGTTTCAGACTTTCAGTTCAGGATTTTTGTGGCGCGACGAGAAGAAGGAACAGCGCCAATCTCGGCAGCTGAAGGAGAGAGTCTGGGCGCAGCCGTAGCCAGTGTGTTCTAGCTCTATACCACAGGGCTTTGAGTCCCGTTTGTTATAAGCTGCTCAGTGCAGCCTGGCGCCCAAGTGCAAATCACATTTTTCCGTTTTTATCAAGTATCTGGTGTGATTGTTCAATACAAGATTGGTGTAAAGCTTTCTATCAATTGTCATTTTCACGATTGTGTCTTCAGTCCAATTTGTTCAAGTGCTGTGCATGGGAAGAAGTTGAATTTTGGCGCATTCCCAACACTACGCCACTTTCCTTGGCCCGAGATCAGGGCCTACCAGGCCTTGCAGCAACTGGGTTGCCTTTGCGACAACAACAAGAAGAAGAAGAAAAAGAAAAAGACAACGATGATGATAATGTGGATGATGATGATGAGGAGGAGGAGGAGGACGACGACGATGACGATGATGTTGTTCAGGAAGATGATGATGATGATGATGATGATGATGATGATAAACCTCTGAGTTGGCCCAGAGCTCAACTGGCGGACAATCATGAGGAAGTACGCACTCCTGCCCCCCAATCACCTGCTTAAAATTTTAAACGTTGTGTTTCCCCCGCCCATCCTGTGCCCTGGGCTGAGCAGGTAAGGTTATTGATGTCTTCAGACAGAACACTTAGACTTCGACATTCAGTAATTCAGGCCAGAAGACAAGCATGTCTGCACTTCTCCGTGGCATGAAGTAACTCCTAGTTAACTGCAATGTTCATTTGGAGGACAATGTGACCCTCAGGAGGGGTTCAACTTACTGCATGTAATAACAGCTAGAGAGATGGTGATAGGGGCAGGACAGAATTGGCAAAGCAGAATCAGCAGGTGGGATCCAGGCAGAGGAGAAGGAGAGAGGAAGAGGGTGAGGAGAAGAGGGATGGAGGGGAGGGAAAATCAGGGAGGGGATAACGGGATGAGAGGAGGCAACAACACAAGAAAGAAACTGAAATGAAACAACGACGAGGACGGAAGAACATTAGAATACAACTCCACCAACTCACCTATCTCAGTTGGTACACTAAAAAACTGTTCAAATGCAGACTTGTGTTCGAACCCCGATGGAATCAGATGAGTCAAATATAACTCCATTTTTCAAAAAAAAGGACTAGAAATTCTAGAATACAACTCCTCTCACCTTACTAGATGTACTGCGCTAATATGTGGTGCTCCACCGGCCCGTGACCGCTGCCGCACCCACTTCTCCAACCTTACCGCAGGCACAGTCCTTGGAAGCAAGTCAACCTTATTGGCAACAATGATTAACCGTGGGATATTTCCAGGGTCCCCTCTTCTCCACATGGCCTCTTCTGTCTTCCGCCCATCCCTCCTACTACCCTGTGCTCCACCCAGGATCTCTGCTTCAGCTTCTGCCAAAAAGCGCACAATCTTCCGAGGCAAAGACCCATCAAAATCTGCCACATCAATTACCATCACAACAACCGCCCTTCTGCCCCAAGCTCGCTTCAACCGTGTTCCAACCACCCTCTCAAAGTCAAAATCGGGAAGCAGATTCTCAACTCTTTTCTCCTTAACCTCTCCATAGTTCCTAAGAGAATGACATCGGGCACACACAACTACCTTCTCCTTTTCCTTCCCATCCTTCTCTTTCCCCTTCTTCTGCCCTTGCCTTTTCTCAGAAGCTGCTCGCCCCTGCCTTCCTCTTGCATCGTCTCCCACATAATCCTCCCACATCTGGTTCCAGACATCTATTGAACTTGGGGTCTGCTCGGAGGTATCCAATCCCTCGACATCATAGTTGCTGCTGGGCCAATCTGGGACATCATCAACCCCTTTCTGCAAATTGCTTGCATTCTCCTCCTCCTCCTCCTCCTCCTCCTCCTCCCCTTCTACTATTTCATGTTCTTCAAGTTCCTCATTCTCATCTACAGCATTTAGAGGCTCTTCGGGAGGAAGAACAGGCCGTCTGAAATACCCAGGCATCAATGGATCTTGATCTTGCATTGTGATCCCACAGCCCGGGCACTTCAACCGAGACCTTGACGAGCCCGTTCTGCTTTGTACGTTCTCTGCGGTGGGAGCTGCAGCAGCCATCACTCTCCCTCTCTGGATATCAGCACGAGTTTTGTGCATGCCTTGGGCCTGAGCAGCCCTGCACTTGTCCCCATTCTTAATGTCCTTTCTCCCCTGAGAACGATCCGCAGAAGCACGGAGATCTGAAGATGAGTGCATATGTGCTGCTAAGGAGTGAAGCGATCCCATCGACTCCGGAGGCACTGTCTTCTGTGCAGCCGTCATATTTGTAACTCGAGCTGTCATGAGTGAGTACCAGGTAATCTTACCTGAGGAATACGGTATGGTCTTCACTTCAACCGGGCATTTCGCACAAAGACAGCCACAACTGGATGGCACACCATTAACCTTCAGATCCCGCTTCATGGTTGAGAGGCGCTTGTTTACAGCTACGGCATGAGCCCTGGACATATGAGCATGCACTCTCATCAGCTCTCTGCGAATGACGTGCTTGCAGGCCATTGCCAGCCTGGAGGAACTACATGCGGACGAAGCCCCTCCAATCAGTGACCTAGTCATCATTCACAAATCCAGCCTCGGTGTGCAGAAGTCAAGAGTGTGTGATCTGGAGACAAAATCCCCTCTCCTGTCTCTCTTTCTCTTTGCCTCCCTCCCTCCCTCTCTCTGTGTGTGTGTGTGTGTGTGTGTGTGTGTGTGTGTGTGTGTGTGTGTGTGTGTGTGTGTGTGTGTGTGTGTGTGTGTGTGTGTTGCCCTACCTTCTTCACTCCTCCTACACCACCTTTTCTTAACGAGGGGATTAACGCCTAGTATTACTGTATTACTAGGGTTCAAACTCATGATCTGTTTATCAACACTTACATGTCTGTAAACCTGTGTACCATTCAGACAGGGGGAAGGTACACACACCACCTTCTCCCAAACAGAAAATGAAACTAGTTAGACTACAGACTGTTCTGGAACTATCACCCACATTCATGATCCAAACTGGGCAACACTTGTGCCTATGGGCTATGGGCTTAACAACTTTAACTAGTGTCAATACCCTGCACCAGAAGTTTGGTCATTCCCATATCCAGAGTCTTATAGTCTTCGAACAACAAAAAGAAGAAACGAAAAGAGTCTTGTAGTCTTGTACAGAGCCCATCCACATCATCTAGCAAAACACATCGTGTAGGACCGTCTCACAACGGCAATGAGAGCATGCAGATCTCCAGAAAGAACTGCCAGAAAGAAGGCGTTTAGTAATTGTTTATCTAGTACATCACTTATAACTTGACAAGTGATCCGGAATAGTCCACAGGTGATTCCGAAAAGCCTTTGCACAAGCTAAGCCCCTGAATAGTCTCTGCGACTCTGCGAGCACCATTTGCTGGCGGTGCATAGCGCATATCATGCCAGGAAGTCGGCCCACAGCACTTAGCTTGATGCACAGTGATGTCGCTTGTTCAGAACAAATGCTCCGAAATAGTCTGCCGAGATCGCCGCATTCGAACCAGCAGCAAGTCAAACTGAAAACCCTTACTTGACAGTCACTGGAAGGCCATCACCATCCACTGAAGAACCCTCCTGTCATTTTGGCGGTGATGAACGACACAAACAAATTGAAATAATCAATCAGTGATAAATCATCAAGGGAACAGGTTTTGGTATTGATGCAGGGCACAAAGGGAAAGTGGTCAGCAGCCTCACCACCTTATCAGGGTATACATTTGGAATGGAGAAACACCACAGCTGAGCGGGAGCAAGCACCAGAGTGTTGTTGCCATACTTCCCACGGTCTGCAGGCTCAGCACATTATCATTGAATAAACTTGCGATGGAGAAAACCTGAAATTGGGATTCAAATTATTGGCTCTTTAATATCCACAAACGATAGAGTGGTAGCAAGCTCTAGACTGTTCTTGCCATATTTCTCATTCCAGCCACTGCAGAGCACAGTGATAGGAGAGGAACCGGAGGTAAGGGACCAAAAGCAAGCACCAGAGTGTTATTGCCTTATCTCTCACATCAATCGCTCCAGAGAACAGGAAGAAGAAAAGAGCAGGAAGGAAAGGTGAGTGGTAGCAAGCAACAGAGTGTTATCACCTGATTTCTCACTTCAGCCACAGCAGAGCACAGGAAGAGGAGAGGACAAGAAGGAACGGTGGAATCGATGTGAGCTGCACACATGGTTCCATAGATCATCTGCACACTTTGAATCTCTGCTTCTCGCTCAATCCGTGCACATTGATTCACAATCTGATATGTTGCTCTTGCAAGTAGATTCAGTCACCCACACAGCTTTTTCAGATAAATTTCTCCCCTCTAGGTTGTGGGACTTTCTAAGCTCCTCTCTCAACTTTCATCAATTCACATAGTTTCTCTCTTCAATTCCAAATAGGTTCAACTACTCACCTCCAATGACCCGTGCAGTTGCAGTCTCGGAACTTCGTATCTACTATCTACCTTGAGAAAGCTGGTCTCCCAGGAATACGCCTGCAGGGGGGAGGTTGTCAACCCAGGAGTAAACCATGTTCAACCCTTGATGGTGTCGGGATGTACTCTGTGACCATTGTGAATGTTTGATCTTTACTTGATCACCAGCTCTATATCCACCCTCTCAATTCCCCCATTTGGTTCTTTTTTCTTTTTTTCAACCCTCTTGTTCTTGTGACAGCCTGATGTGATCTATTCTCTGTATACAGACCAGGATCAATCACATAAACGCAGGACATCATGTCGGACTTGATTCTTGTGCATTCAACCAAGATCACATATTGTTGTATGTTCCCTCCTGACTAAATTAATTGCTGCTCCAGCTAGGAGAATTCTGCGGGACTTCGTGTAGGATTTGATTCTTGTGCATTCAGCCCAGATGTTGCATGCACAGTTCCCGTAGGGGCCCCACAAGGCCCACCATTAGGATTAGGAGTCCTAGAGGGATTAGCAGGGTTCGTTTGGGACGCACTGCTGGTTACCAGGTCCAGTTTAGGATCAGTGTCGGTTGAGGGCCCAGACAGGCCGTAGCGGGATAGCACAGGCCCTGGCCCAGTTTCGTTTTGGCGCCAGGCCACTGTTTCGTTTCAGAGCAGTCAGTTAAGCGCCAGGCCGTTTCAGGCCCAGTTGCATTTTGGCGCCAGATTTCTGTTTTCATCGAGGACCGCTGATCGTGAGTTAGATCGGACAGGGCCGTATCGAGAGGCTGCACAGCTGAGGTCGACCCAGCGCTATATTTAGCTGGGTCCAGCCTCGGCTCGTGAGGTAGACTCTGCGGTAGTACTGTTAGGCAGTCAACGCGCTGGGCACTGTTACTCTGAGGTAGTACTGTTAGGCAGTCAACGCGCTGGGCACTGTTAGTTTGTTAGCTGACAGCGCAGGGCGCACGGTTAGCGAGGAGAGTTGGAGCTTGGGCACTGTGGCCGAGCTGCTGTGGGAGCTTGAGAGGAGAGTGAGAGAGGCGGAGGCCAGGGGACTTACCGGATGACGCCACAACTCCAGCTTCGTCATCAGTGAGAGAGGTGGAGGCCAGGGGACTTACCGGATGGCGCCACCTTTCACAGGTTAGTACCTGGTACACATGGCTACGATACCTGGTACACATGGCTACGAACGAGAGAGAGAGAGAGAGAGAGAGAGTTTTCTTCTTCTTCTTCTTCTTCTCCTTCTTCGCTCTCGGTCTGTCCTCCATCGCTCCTCCTTTTCCCCTTCGGAGCTTCTTTCTTCTTCTGTGGGGGTACGCACGCGCTGTCGGAGGGCGCGGTATCCGGCCCTCCTCTGTGTACCAAGTCACTGCTTGGTACCAGTCCTCGCTCTGATGCTCTGGCCTATAGATGCACCTAGGACCCCTGCAGTTCCTGATAACCAGGCTGTACCTCGGTGCGGACCGGTCCCGGTGACGTTGCCCTCAACAAAAGGGGTGCGCCACAGGACTTCCATTGGTCCACGCGGACTCAGCGCCCTGCTGTACAGCAGAGCACAACCGGCCTGTGACCGTGGTGGCCGCTGGGTTCGCCCTGGGACGCGGAGGTGAAAAGACCAGCTCAGCCTTTTCTACTGCGCACCAAATGCCCTCTAGCCGGGTTATGGGTTAGGTGCACTAGGCGGAAGTCACTGTCAGAAGAGGAAAGAAAAGAAAGAAAGAAAAGAAAGAAAGAAAAGAAAAATAATAAAAACGTCGAGTGTGAATTCGCTTTAGTTCGGGGAAAATCCAGCGGCTTCGGGCCACTGTGATGTTACGATCCCCTTTCCATTTTTACTTACTGATTATTATTATTATTATTATTATTATTATTATTATTAATGTTATTACTCAATTTCCCAAATTTTCAGTTTCCTGCCTGTCGATCTGTCACTTCGCAGGAGAGGCCGTCGATTCGGGTTTTCGAACTACGACAGTTGCCTTATGGCCTGGGGCTCTACCTACCCCTTGTATATCGCCTGTATCAGACTCGTTCATCCGAACCTTGCAGTGGGACCCCGATGGCCAGGTGAAGAGGCAGATACAGTGAGGACTAGAAGGAAAAAGAAAAAGAAAAAAAGAAACATAGTAAAAGAAAGAGAAGGAACGAGAAAGGTTGGAAGTCGGGTGCAAGATTTGTGTGTGAACGTGGATCGCTGTTCAGGCAAGGGTGCTGCGCAGAGAAATTCTGGGACGCCACCCCTTTCTTTTCAGCGATTAATATTATTTTTATTATTATTGGTATTATTATTATTTTCTTTATTACTAAGTTTTTCTAAGTTTGGTTTTCAACCTGTTGGCTAATCCTTTCGCGGGAAACCAACGGTTCGAATTTCGAAGCCAACACTTCGTAGCCTAAGTAGGCCGGCCTTGCATATACTATCCACGGGTGAGCTTCGATCTGGCATCGCGCGGCAGGACCTCAAAAGGAGGGCGACCCGCGGCCGCATTGGTAGGAGGCCTATCACCCTCCCTGTGGAGGGTCATAAGCCCCCTCCTTTCAATCGGACACGGGCACCCAGCGGAAATAGCACAGTGCTCTCTCTTAAGGTGAAAACCCGGACGGTCGGGATCTCGTTATGGGACCACCACTTCAGGATTGTAGCACATCTCGGCAAGGCGAAGCGACAGGGGTCGATAGCAGAAAGTCTGCAGTCGCCGATGGTCACTGAGACTTCGCTACTTTTTATTCTTGATCCATTTTATTCTATTGCTTATTTCATTTAATTAATTATATGGCCCCAGGGTAATGATGAGCAGAGTTTCAGGGGGTACATCGTTTAGAACGTTGGGATCACAGCATACGGCCGATCGTATAAAAAAGAATAAGACTTGGCTATCTAGCGGCTGATTAGGAGGGCGCTAGTGGGCTGCTTCGTGACGTTAGTGCACCAGCCACTTTGCTGTGCAAGCGTCAATCGACTGAGGTGAAGGATACAGAATAGCGGGCGTTTAGCAGATGCCGATTGTTTGTGCCTAGGACCAAGGTTTCGTCTGATTTTGAGACCAGTCATGGCGCTACACGGCTATAGGCCTCGCAGTTGGCGGCACACGGTGCGCTGGGTTCCAGTGTCGGGTGAAGGGCCTCTGATTACGACGGCCTTGAACTATGATGGGGGAGAGGTAGTCCGATTGAAGGTCTGCATAGAAGAGGGGAGAGAGGAGGAGATGCGAGGTGATCAGAGGCTGCAGGCTGCCATTTCCGAGGCACGCAACAGGGCGGAACGGAGGTGTACACGAGACGAGGTGACCGTGGGTTTGAGAGTGACGGTCATCGATCATGAGACGGAGTCATCAACTGGGACCGAGACAAGGGAGGAACAGCACAACGAGAGAGACTCAGGCGGGGAGAGTGAAATGAGCGAGGCGGACCGAGAAACGGACCTCAGGTCCTGGAACAGACCCGAGGAGATCCAAAAGCACCATCGAGCCGCGGAGCCGGTGGAAAAAGGACCTGAGGCCAGCTCTCGACAACTCACGCCCAGAGGCCGCGGAACAAAAAAACAGCAGAGCAAGGGGAAAGGACGTGTGTAAGGCAGCGGCACGAGGTGTGAGATACGTACGCGTGGCACTGCGAAGTGTGAGTGAGAGGGAGAGAGGCGGTTGACGAGAGAGCTCGCGGGTGTGCACGAGAACAGAGAGTGAGCCTACTGCGCTCGTCAGAAGGGGGGAACAGGACGAATCGCAAAAGAGGGGCAAGAGCAGTAGGACGGGTAACAGACAAAAGGAGTGTGGCGAGGGCAACAGGGATTGTGACAGGCGAGCACGAGACGTTACTCGAGGAGGGCTACACGTGGCAATCGAAGAACATAAGAGAAGGCAATGGAAGGGGAAGACTGCACGAGTGAGCGAGACGCTATCTTGTTAGATGCAGTTGATGTTACTCGCTATCTTCGAGTTCGCTTACTGCACTGGGTGTCAACTGAGTTACAGTGAGTCCTCGGGCTGCGGCGGGAGACGCGTGCGTGGCGGGGGKCAACGCGGACTCGCGAGAGTTGATGACGTCAACCTCGCTGTTGATCGCGCCACCGGAGACATTCTTTAAAAAGGGATGGTTACACGTGCGCGATATGCCACATTGAGAGGGTTAGAGAGAAGACGGGGAACGATCTTTCTTTCACTCTGACTGAGCACGCGAGAGAAAAGACGTTAACTGTTGCGTATCTACACTGCCTCACCATCAGGGGAAATGGGTCGAGCCCTGGGAGCTGAAGTCAGACCTATTACTTCCCCTCCCTGCGACAGACAATGAGGGAGGAGGTTGCGTATGGTACTCACCTAGTGGTGGTGATTGTGATTGTTCCTGTCAAGAAGCGCGCGTGATGGGCTGAGACGGTGGTCTCCTCGAAGAGTTTTGGTGACTTGGTTCTGGTCCGCTGGGAGCTCGCAGAACGTTTAAGCCAACAAGGTGGCAATGGGCGATTGTCTGCGGACACGATCAGTGTGCTACTCTCAGTACTGTGCCCCACATTTCGCCACCCTGTCAGTACAATGTCGTCGAAGAACCTGAAGTGATCGAGGATCGTCTCCTGGTGAGCTCCACGCCAAGTGCGTTTGAGCGAATCACTGTTGACGTCATCAAACTGCCTAGTTTGGAGATAATGGGAACTTCGCCCCCTCAGAGACTCGAGTTGTCACCTCAAGATGGCCAAAGGAACGCCAGGAGAAATTTGTGACGCTTCAGAAACGGGTCTATTCATTATTTGATCGCGTGTACGTGATCTGCTCGATCGAGGGCCAACTGTTGAGAGTCTTGTCCTCTTTGAAGGTGTTTTGCTCACCAGCTGGCGTGCTCTCTCTGATGATCATCTGTCTCGCCACCCTCGAGTGACTTCCAGTTCATGTTGGGTACTACTATCAAAACCCCTGATGTGTTTCTTGGTAACCACCCTAGTCTGACCTTTAGCAAGTGGTGGTCATTGTACGATGAGTTCTTTCCATTCTTAATATCATTAGTTTCTTTCTTTCTCCCTTTCTTTTTTTTTCTATTATTTTAATTTTTATTTTGTTGATTGTTTTCAGTTAATTAGGATGATTGGTTGTTGTTAACCGGTCAGAGTACATCCTAACAGGAATTAAGCTCGCCTTAGACCGTGGGTGGGTGAACGAGGGAAAGCCCCTGATATGTAACAATGATCTGAAAAGTTTCGTCTGCGAGGAGAGCCCAACATGCAGGCTACTAGATTGAAAGCATTTGCGAAGCTGAAAACGGTAGAATAATTCCGGTGTTGGCTCTTGCCCACGGAAAGCATTCCCCTGCAGTGAGTGGTTTTACTCGATCACCTGACAAGGTCGAAGAGACACGCAACTTTTGTAACCGCACACTTATATTCTGTAGAGACGGAGATTACAAATATAGTTGGCACTTGAGTTTTCTTTTCCTTTTCGCTCCGTATGAGATAGCGCCTAATGTCCGCAATGCATGGTTACACTGTGTGACTACACTGCGTGTAACTATGTTGCGTGACTACACTACGTGTGACTACGATGCGTGACTGCACCTGTGCGTGATTGCATTGCGTGATTACATCAAATGATACCCCCACGTGATTGTAACCGAGTGGATACATCAAGTGACTACACTGCGGGACCGCTCCTTGTGACTGTGACGTGGTTACATCACATGACTGCATGATTTTGTGGGAGCGTAGGGCGTAGGCTTGCATGTGCTCACCCCACAAGTGGTTCCCAACAGTGGTATGCATTCTTTCGTGCCTCGAGATAAACTGAACATGTGACAGTATAAGTCTACGAATGTCAGCAAGTGTGTATGTAGACTGACGCTTGGTGGAGTGAACCTGCTGGCTCAATGATCACAGTCAGGCATTCGATCAAGTGATACAGGCATATTTCCAGGCTCGCTGGACGAGCTTATCTAGCCAATGGAATTGCAGAAACGAATTTTATGCTATGCTTTCTGGATTTTGCTTTTCTGGGTAGATGGGAAAAGGAAAGTCGGTGCTGAGGAAAATCTACTATGTCCTCGCCAAGTTTTTACTTGATGGTGATTGAATAATCTTCATCCTAACACTTGTCCAGTTGCAATTGACTAAGGGAAGGGGTAAAACATCAGGCAAAGCCAATACTAGTTGTGCTTTGATTATCGGACAACAAGGCTCTGATAACAAGACTCAGACAACTAGATTTAGACAATTCAGACTTGAACAACTAGTTCCAAAATATTTCGACTCGACTTTAGGCAAACCAAACTCAAGCCGGACCAGGACAACCCTTCTCAGACTCAAGTGGAAGTCTGAAGGGCTGGCATAATAAACTCAGCAAACTCAAGTCAACTCAGAATTCGCATGACATTGGGCAAGACTGGTTACGAGTAATTCTCAGGTTCTGCATACTTGGATTCGGACACGATGGGAGAGCATGAAAAGTGAAGAGGTGCTAGTTGTGAAGTGTAACTCTGTCAGAGACAAGAAAAGGGGATGAAGGGATGGACTCCCAAAAGCAGGTCCAGCGTGAACACGCTGTCCAAAAAGTGAAAATGGAAAAACACATTGAGTACGTGACTTATATTTACGGGTCGGATGGCAAACTGCACAGTACCGGCTCCTCTCTAGAGATGGTATAACAGGCCAAGGCATTTCTCAGGTGAAAACAGACACACTTGAGTTCTCCCTCTCTCGAGGTATCCACAGGTTCTCCCAAACAGTCAGAGGTTCCAACCATCAGTTGACAGTTCATTTGGTTTCCGCTGCTGGGAACCGGGGTTCCGTGACATGACAACCGACCCTGCTTAATCATTCGAGTTATCCTGAATTTTCTAATCTGCATTCAGACCATTTCTGATCAATGCGCAACTCGTATTCGGCCCCTTAATGACCTTTCGGGCCTACTTGAAATTACCAATAAGAGTTGGGCGGCAATCCCCAACTCCTTGTATCCGGTGCTGTTCTCAGTGAGCAGTGCTCGGCAATGGATTGTGCGCTGTGACGTTAGCAGTGAACAGTGCTTAGCAGTGGTCAGCACTCAACGCGGTTGGGGGTAACCAGGCAGCAATACAGCCGCTCCTCAAGCGGCATTCAGCCGGTGACTAAGTGTTTCTCAATCTGCTTACTTCGACAGTAATCAAGCATCGGTCAACCAGCACACTTTATGGCCATTACGTAACAGTAGAAACTAGTGATTTTGTGACGTGTTGCGCCATAGCCTCAGCTACGCGTCTCCAGCTAGCAGCGTATTACCATCCCTGCAGTAATCAGATTTCTCAGTCTGCATAATCTCAGCAGCAGTAGTCTATCGGTAACCAAACAGCGAGCAGACGACGGCGGAGAGCGGCAACCAGGAACAGCAACAAGCAGCAGCATTCTGAAACAACTATTTGAAACAGCAATCCACCCAACAGACTTTTCATGTCTGGATCATCCAAGAGTCACCCACCCTAAGTTGGGTGAACTGATGTAGCGAGAGACCGGTGAGAATATGAACCACAGCAACACGGTTAGAGTCTCCTGCTCGCTGTATCACAGCACTGCGGAGACCTGGAGGGAGAGTGCAATTGAGGAATACAACCAGCAGACTGCTATGATGATGGAACGCGCTCTGATTCTCGTGAGGGATCATACAAAAATCGAATACTACACGTACTACCTGCATGATAAGAATGGCAGGCTATGTGCCACCATAACTTCAGTGGGCACTATTGAGGAAGCAAGGAGGATTGTTAGCAGCCACGAGTGAGTGTTCTGTCTCTGAACAAGAACTGCCCACCTACCTGAACACTCAGTGATCAGTCATCAGAGATCAATTACTCAGCAAGTTAGTCATCAGTGATAATTTAATCAGTAATCAGTCATCAGCATTCAATTAATCTGCAATCAATTATCAGCAATCAGTTATTAGCAATCAGTTCCCTGCGGTCAGTTTGGTAGCCAGTTTTCAGGGACCATCTGGTCAATTTGTACAGGCAAGAGTACTCATGAGCACAGTTCACTCTGCTCCGGTCAGTGAGTCAGTACTGGCTAGCCTCAATCGGATCTCATGCAAAGAGGCATTCCATTATCAGTATGTTAGCGCCATTGGTTTCAGACAGGGAGATCTGTCAATCTTCATTGTCCAGACCAGTTTTGCTGATGGCACCATCCACGATCTGAGACCTTACCCGAAGAAGGGCAAGGAGACTCATGAGTTTTTTGATCCAGTCTGGATCTCAGCCACTGAATACCTTGAGCAGAGAGAGAGGGAGCTCGATGAGAGTGGCACTAAGTTGATTCGCAGCTTTGGGCCGATGCTTTATACTGATTATCCTAGGCCTCCAATCCCTTCACTTCTCACAGATGGCACGAGTTGGCTGGATGTGATTGGATTGGCAAAGAGGTACATCTCTCCGGCAGTGATCGACATTGAGGCATTAACTGAGCCTACCGAGTATCCCTACCTCAGACGAGGAGTCCTTTCAGTGGACGGACTGCCTACTTTGTGGGAGGAGTTTTGCTCCATGGTTAACTACCGTGTCATGTGCCTCGGATGGTCATGCTCAGAGCTAGCTCGCTACAGGTGGCTTTTCATCACGAGGCCTCAGTCTCAGATTGTACGTAGGCGGGGGTCACGGCACCAGAGAAGATCGGTGAAAAGAGAATGAGAGAGACTGACCTGAGGGATGAGTGAGGACTCTTGAGAGGTGCTGACCATGCCCGCTTACATGTACTTTCTGGGATTATTATGAGTTCTCACTCTTCCGTCATTCAATTGCCCCTGGCTTTGCTCGAGTCAGTCAGTCTTATTTTCTGCATTATTCTTGCTTGATGATTGCCTTAGTGGATGTTTTGTCACAGTTCTCAAAATTAGAATGACATAATTGATGCATGCATAGCACCCCATAATTTATGATTATTATTTGCATAATTCTCTGCTGTTCCGAATCAAAATAAAAGATTCCTAAGACCGGAGATCGGCGAAGACCGCAATTGAAGGGTCTCGCTCGAAGCCGGACGCACACAACAAGAAGGGATTTGCATTATTTAATTAATTTATTTATTGCACTCACATTCAAAATCCTGCGTGACAGCCTGTTGGCTTTCCGGTCGCCCGAAGAGGCCCGACTGGAAAAAGTGCGACAGCGCGAGCGCGCGAGAGAGAGAAAGAGAGAGAGAGAGAGGGAGGCCCGACCTTGGGGGTACTACAGGCCGTGAAGGCCTTACCTTGGACCAGACCCAACAGGCAGGCCCAAACGACATTACGTTTGGGCTTGGCGGCGCTCTTGAGGCTTCCGCCCGCCGGTTGGGGCTGAACCGTCCATCTCGACGGTTCAGGGCACGGCCAAGCCTCGCAGCATTGAGGCCGGCCTCTGCCCCACCGGTACAAAAGTACCGGTCCAGCCTCATTGAGGCTATCGACCCACCGGCACTCTAACGGTGCGGTATGGTACGGCGCGAATCAGCGATGGCGCTAAGTTTAGCGCAGGAGCAGCGCAGCATTAGTGCAGCAGCAGCGAGCGGAGCAGCAACGGCGACTGGGTGTATCGGCGGCCATAGCCGCCTGAGGTATCGGGAGTCATAGGCTTCTCTCCTCCCTCCCATCGCCAGTCCCCTCTCTCTCTCTCTCCTCCTCAGCTCCCTTCTTCTTCTTCTTCTTCTTCTTCAGATTGGAGACTTATACTAGTTTGACAGAGATCAAAGTTGGACTTCGTTGGTAAGAGGTTGTGGTACTTACCGGATTCGAGACTTGGAGATTGTTGGGGATGATACTCGGCTGCATCACAGATTGGACACCGGTTACCTTAGGACTCTGTATCTCCGACATTGGTGACTTATTGTCCGCGACATTTTCATCTTGTTCGAGGACATTTCGGATTACCATATCGGTGACTTACTAGTTTCTATCTCGGTGACATGTGGTGTAACCTACATCTTCCCCCTCCCTTCGTCTCTCCTCCCACCTTCATCTGTGTATGTGTGTACGGGGCTGAGCATCGCCTATGAATGGCTCAGACCCCACCATCTCACGATTGTATGTGTGTGGAGTGATATCTATGTGAGTCAGTCCGTTTATCAGACTTCCGCTGCATATATGCTCGTCCTACATTGGTTGATCTTTGGTTCTGCCTGTAACAGCTTTGGTATCGGAGCAGACCAGTTTACAGAACTGCTCACCAGGTAAGTCTGATTTAGGAATTAGATTGCTTTCATCAATCTTCCAAATCAGCTCTGTATTACTATCGAGTTCAAAGTTGCAAATTTTTTCTTTTTTCGGTATTCTATTTATTTTGGCATTTCCGTTTCAATTCGGTATTCGGACTTATAATTAGGATGTCTGTTTTATTCCGGTATGCTGTTTATTTAGGTTTCGATTAATTGATACTAATCCGATCATTTGTTAGGTTCGGATTTCTGATATGAAAACGTGATTAGGGTTGAATTAGTATCCGAAAAAATTCGGCATTCTGATTTTCTATTTAGCATTCCGTTTTTGATTACGGCATTCTGTTGTAAATCCTACATTTCGTTTTCCTTTTGGTATTTCCGTTTTCTTTCAGTATTGGAAAGTAGGGTTACGAAAATTTTGGTTGTTCGATCAACTGGGGAAATTCGAAAGTTTTGGAACCGTAATACCAGAAATTCTGTGGAAACGCGAAAAATTAGGGTTGGGCCCGAAATTTTCGCAAATTTTTTCTTTTTTCTTTTCCCTTGTTGGAGAAATTTCGAAAACGGATTTAGGCCTTTAAAAATCGGATTTTGACAATGGAAATTCCCGAAAATTCACGTTTTTTTTAAATTCGAGTGTTTTTCTTCGGATTTTTCCGAAATTTTTTTTGGCAAATTAATCAGAATCTGACCCTCACATTGCAACTTCCGGGTAGTTCACTAATTAATGGTGAACTCCGGGACCATAATTGATCTCAACAGATACCTAATCTTAATAACAATTCCAATTCGTTCATTATCATTATTGCAAATCTTGTTTTGATTGATTATCATTATTGCAAATATTGTTTGGATTGATTATCATTTTTGCAAATATTGTCTTATTGATTACCATTAAGAATTATTCTTTCGTTAGTTATCATTATTTAATTTAATTGATTAAATAATTTGTTATTATTTCTTCTTATTACGAATTTTTGGAATTGTTTACGAAAAATTATTTTTTCTGTTTTGATTAGGTGTCTACAGTTCATCAGTGGGACAGGGGACTGTATGCGTATTGTTTGATCGTTCTACCCCTGTTCCCACTCTCCCTACCCTCCCCGTATTTTGTGACCACCGGGACCTCTCAAGTACATCAGTTCACCCTGATGTCGATGGAAGAGGACACCGGGGCACTGCCACGACGCAGTGCCAGGCTTGCAGTTCGTACCCGCCCTGTGGTACCTCCAAGACCCAAGCAGCGACTCAGCAAGCGGAAGACTCCAACAGCATCGAGTACAACAATAACAGTACCGAGTACCACCGGGGTTCTTCCCGCATGCCCGGTCCAAGGGGCCGGTGAGCCATTGACAGCTTACCTTCAGCGGGTACAGGCATTCACAGATGTCGTAGCTACCGCAAAGGCACAGGAGGAGGCAGCAGAGGCGGAACGTCAGTGGCTGGCCAATGAGGCGGCGGCCCTAGCTTAGCAGACTTCTAAGGCTGACACCGTGGTGCGAGACAAGTGGAATGTCATTTGCATGGAGTCCTTGACTACGAATGAGAGTCAGTGGACATCACTGCTCCGAGGCATGCTGTTTGTGCCTTCGGAAACACAGGCGGATCCGACACCGGTGGAGGAAGAAAGGAGCAACCTGGCTAACCTGATGTTGAACATGATGCGAGCGATCATGTGGAACAACACGATGCTAATGGTGCAGCAGACCGCTGCGACAGATTCAACAGAATGATTTTGCAGCCTTAACAGTTGCTGTTCACGCTGCCGCCACACATCAGCAACAACAGCAACAGCTGTTGAGCAGCCCCACCGCACGCGTCAACAACATCTAGGCTAGCGCCTCAGCAGCGCCAAGCTGCACGACAAACGAGACGAAGCAGTTCAATGGGCGCATCGATCATGTCATCAACCTCATCGGCGACATAGGTGTTTTCAATGGGCCGGACACGATCAGTAGCACGGTGGCCGCCATCAAGACGGACATCACCAAGCTGCAGACGAGACCGGACACCGCTACGAAGACTTACAAGATGCCGCACTTCGACATCAGCAAGTTCGACGACTACAACAAGTCGGACGCCTCGACATGGTGGCAACGTTTCCTCACGGAAGCATCATGCCGCACTGTCCCGGCGGACGACATGATGAAGGCGCTCTACTTACAACTGATTGGAGGAGTGCAGGCATGGATGAACCATCTGGCGGCTACCAAGAAATGCACCATCGCCGAACTCCACACGCACATTCCGTGGAAGGAGTTTGAGAAGCTATGGCTCACCCGGTTCATGGTTCTCAACGTCGTGAAGGCAGCCATGAACGAGGTGTACACCAGCTCTCAAGGTAGTATGCCAACTCGAGACTGGACAACTAAGTGGCAGAAGATAGTGACCACGCCAGGCTTGGATTTGAGTTTTACCAATCAGCGATCCAAGTTCTTCTCGCGATCATGCGCAGCACTGCGGTCGGCACTCGGCAACGAGTACGATTATGATTCATTCCAGGCCATTCTGGATCGGGCGAACTTAGTCATCCAAACGGATGACAAGGCCGCAAACGAACGGCAGTCCCAGCCGCATTATGTGGCTAAGCAGGGCTATCAACGACCGACACATAACAATGCCGTGATTTCAGAAGAAACAGTCGATCTCCACACTGCAGCAGCATCCTCGAGTGATGGAGGAATTGTAGCAGCGCTCCCGCCGAAGCGTCCCAAGAGAGGTCGGAAGAACAAGGCGACACAAGAGACGGCATCGACGAGAACTGGGCAGCAGCCATGGATGGCTTACAAGATAACCAAGGATGTCTATGACCTTCGTCAAAAGTACGGATACTGCCTTTGGTGCATCGGCGTCATGCATTTGACCGCACAATGCCCCGAAAAGGGCAAGACATGCGTATCCCGTCCAGCAAACTCCGGAAACTGAGTTACGCAAGGAGAAGGGCGACGTCTCTCCTCACTCCGCCGGAMCCGGTTGCCTTGCTAGCAATCGATGTCACTACCGGGGAGCATTCATTAGTCGCTGATTCTCGTGCTACGTACGAGGATTATGCCGCCCAGTTGGTACCACCACAAGACCAGTCGGGCCACGTGCACTTAGATTGCGTATGCGCAGCCTGCACACCGTCGATCCGGTCAGTTCGCCACTGATTTCCGAGGACTCGACGGCGTGGTCAACACTTGAGGAGCTTGACCCGCTCACGAGAGAGGACTTCACTTGGATGCCTCTACCCTCGACCGGAACCTTGCCAAGGCCGCATTGCAACGCCTTGATGGCAAATCTACGCTCCTATTTGCACACTACAGTACCAGCTCCGTTGACGGACGAAGGGGTAGCGGTTGTCGATCTCTGCTCCTATCTTGCAAAGATTGACCGCGAGTACGCCACCCAAAGGTACGTCGAAACCGACGCGCCTTTGCTCTATATCCGCATTCAAATCGAAAAGGCAACCTGTAGTGCCTTGATTGATTGCGGAGCGTCTCGCAACTTTATGAGCCAAGCCTTTATGGCCCGCGCAGGTCTCTGCCCGCGCGTTCGAAGGAAGACGCAACCTACGCAAGTTACACTCGCAGACGGCCGCACGCAAAAGTCAATTGACCGATGCGTCCACGACGTTCTGGTATACTTTGCGCCACTTGCGTGCGAGCCGGTGTCTTTTGACATCCTCGACACCAAGTTCGACATGATTCTAGGCATGTCTTGGTTGCGTAGCGCCGATCATCCGGTGAACTTTCATGACCGAACCGTTCACATCCGTGATCGGAACGCAGTGTTACTCTCATGTACGATCGCGACCCCTCACACTTCGATTGCTTGTCACGTGGTTTCCTTTGCGAGAATTTGCGACGCCATAGCTCGGAATGACGTCGAGGAGATGGGCCTTGTATTCTTGCATGCTCTCCCCTCGYCGGACGGACCAGCCGCGTCACCGCCGGACCCACGCATTTCTCACCTCTTGGACGAGTAAAGAGACGTCTTCGAGGCTCCCACCAGAACGGTTCCGGATCGGCCCATACGTCACGGGATCACTCTCGAGGATGGCGTCATCCCTCCGCGTGGATGTATCTACCGCATGAGCAAAGAGGAACTCGAGGTGCTTCGTGCACAACTCGATGATCTTCTCGACAAGGGTTGGATCCGCCCTAGTTGCTCGCCATACGGTGCMCCTGTTCTCTTCGTCCGGAAGAAGAACAAAGATCTACGGTTATGCATCGACTGTCGCAAACTTAACGCACAAACCGTAAAGAACGTTGGCCCTCTCACTTGGATCGATGATCTCCTTGAGCGGTTAGGCGGCGCGACGTACTTCTCGAAGTTGGACTTGAAGTCAGGTTACCACCAGATTGAAATCCAGCCTCAAAATCGGTACAAGACCGCGTTCAAGACGCAATACGGGCATTTTGAGTGGGTTGTCATGCCCTTTGGACTCACCAATGCCCCCGCAACTTTTCAAGCAGCTATGACGACTAAGTTTCGCGACTTGCTCGATCTCAGCGTCCTCATCTACCTCGATGACATCTTGGTCTATAGCAGGACGTTGGACGAGCACATCACACACCTTCGCGCTGTTTTGAATCGTTTGCGACTGGCCAAGTACAAAGCGAACCGCGACAAGTGCGAGTTCGCCAAGCAAGAGCTTGAGTATTTGGGCCACTATGTTACGCCGAAAGGCATTCGTCCCTTAGCGGACAAGATCCAAGCCATCGTGGATTGGCCGGAACCCCGTTGTACAACGGATGTACGCTCTTTCATGGGTTTGGCTGGATACTATCAGCGATTCCTCGAGTCATACTCGAAAGTGGCCGCTCCTTTGTCGAGACTTCAGTCCCCGAAGGTGCCCTTCGAGTTCGACGACGCAGCCCATGGCGCGTTCACTACGTTGAAGGCAGCAATGCAAGCCGCACCTGCCCTCCGTATATATGACCCCACCATACCCACCCAAGGGACTACGGACGCTTCGGGATACGGTATTGGTGCGGTGTTGGAACAGTGTCACGAGGACGGTTGGCATCCGGTTTAGTATTTCTCCCAAAAGGTGCCTCTCGTCAACACTCTCGACGACGCTAGGAAGAAAGAGCTACTCGCGTTCGTCACCGTYCTCAAACGGTGGCGCCACTTTCTTCTCCGCCGTCGGCGTTTTAAATGGAATACGGACAACAATCCGTTGACCTTTTACAAAACGCAGGACACGGTCACTAGCACGATCGGTCGATGGATGTATTACATCGACCAGTTCGATTTTGACCCGTGCCACATTCCCGGTCCCGCCAATCGAGTTGCGGATGCCCTCTCACGACGGCCCGACTTTTGTGCCATTGTGACCACGGTATTCAACCTCGATGACGATCTGCAGTGGCATGTCGTCAAAGGCTACAAGTCCGATCCGACTTACTCTACGCTATATGCAGAGCTCTCATCGGATCACCCGCCGGCTAGCCACTATCGAATTTCCGACGGGTTCCTTCTCCTTCACACGAGAGGAAAGGACTTGTTAGTTGTGCCCCAAGATCGCATCTTACGGACTCGTCTTCTCGGCGAATTCCACGACGCACGACTTTCGACACACCTTGGCGTGAACCGCACATTAGCACGCCTCTGCCAACATTTTCACTGGCCCGACGTCCTTCATGACGTCACGAGGTACGTTGAGTCATGTACAGTTTGCCACCGTAACAAGGGTCGATCTCGAGTCCCCTTCGGCGAACTGAAACCGTTGCCGATTTCTCGGGCACCGCGCCTCTCCATTGCCATGGACGTGACAGGCCCATTCCCCCGCGATCGCCACGACCATGACGGTATTTTCACGGTCGTTGACCGTTTGAGCAAGTATGCTCGCTTCCTTCCTTGCAAGTATCATGCTGCAGCACCCGAGCTCGCACGACTCTTGCACACCGGTTGGATTACCAACCAGGGTGTTCCGGAAGACATAGTGAGCGTCCGAGATACTCGCTTCATGTTGACCTTTTGGACTTCCCTCATGGCTGAGTCCGGTACGACTATGAAGCCGAGCTCGGCTCGGCACCCGCAGACGGATGGCCAGACGGAGCGAGCGCACCAGACCGCTCAAATGATGTTGCGTATGCTCATCCGTCCCGACCAGAAAGATTGGGTTGACCGGCTTCCCGACAGCGAGTTCGCCTATAACACTTCGGTGCACCCGGCGATCTGCGTCACACCATTCGAGCTCCATCATGGTGGAGAGAAAGCACGGATCTTCACTGATCTCCTTTTGCCACAGGCTGCCGACATAGACGTCCCTTGCTCTCCCGCTTNATAGACGTCCCTTGCTCTCCCGCTTTCGTTCGGAAGTACCGAGACTTGCTGATCAAAGCCCGCGCGAATATGCAAAAGGCTCAAATCTGCATGCAACAGCAAGCTAACCGACATCGACTTCCATGTCCTTTCCGTGAGGGAGACCTTGTTTGGGTCCTCTCCGACAAATCTGCGTTCGAGCAGGATGTTTCGTGCAAACTCCTTCCGAAATGGTTCGGACCATGGGAAGTCACTTCTGCCGTTGGAGACGACCCCGCAGGTCCTTCCTTCGTGATCAACATTCCACCCCACCTTACAGTGCATCGGGTCTTCCACGCATCGAAGCTGGCCATCTACACGCCACCTTCAGTTGACGAGTTTCCCAAACGTCGATCACAGGATCCGCCTTCCATGGACGGACATCAGGAAGTGGACCGAGTCATCATGCACCGCAAGTATGGCAACAAGCCAATGCACTACGAAGTCACATTCAAGCAATGTGCGCCTGACGACACTCGGTGGATCTCTAGTGCAGACTTGCAGACTTCTGCACCCCTTATCTTCGCCAACTATGAGAAGACACGACTTGCCAAGGCAGCAGCTCGTCCCACCCGACCCATCCCGGTATCGGACAGACAACTCCGCCCTCGCAAGTAGCTCGGTCTTTTAAGAGGGGGAGTGTGTTACATCTTCAACGCCACACGGGTCCTACCGGACCCGACGTACAGTTAGAGGGACACAGTACGGCCTAAAGGCCCGACCTTGGGGGTACTACAGGCCGTAAAGGCCTTACCTTGGACCAGACCCGACAAGCAGGCCCAAACGACATTACCGTTTGGGCCTGGCGGCGCTCTTGAGGCTGCCGCCCGCCAGTTGGGGCTGAACCGTCCATCTCGACGGTTCAGGGCACGGCCAAGCCTCGCAGCATTGAGGCCGGCCTCTGCCCCACCGGTACAAAAGTACCGGTCCAGCCTCATTGAGGCTATCGACCCACCGGCACTCTAACGGTGCGGTATGGTACGGCGCGAATCAGCGATGGCGCTAAGTTTAGCGCAGGAGCAGCGAGGAGCAGCGCAGCGCAGCATTAGCGCAGCATTAGCGCAGCAGCAGCGAGTGTAGCAGCAGCAGCGGCGACTGGGTGTATCAGCGGCCATAGCCGCCTGAGGTATCGGGAGTCAGAGGCTTCTCTCCTCCCTCCCATCGCCAGTCCCCTCTCTCTCTCTCTCCTCCTCGGCTCCCTTCTTCTTCTTCTTCTTCTTCTTCTTCTTCACATTGGAGACTTATACTAGTTGGACAGAGATCAGAGTTGGACTTCGTTGGTAAGAGGCTGTGGTACTTACCGGATTCGAGACTTGGAGATTGTTGGGGATGATACTCGGCTGCATTACAGATTGGACACCGCATTAGGACTCTGTATCTCCGACATTGGTGACTTATTGTCCACGACATTTTGATCTTGTTCGAGGACATTTTGGATTACCATATCGATGACCTACTGGTTTCTATCTCGGTGACATGTGGTGTTACCTACATCTTCCCCCTCCCTTCGTCTCTCCTCCCACCTTCATCTGTGTATGTGTGTACGGGGCTGAGCATCGTCTATGAATGGCTCAGACCGGTTTCCCGTTGCAGTCGTGTTGGTAGGTGCGCCGTCGTAGTCACGACGAGGCTTCGTTGCTCGATCCCTGTACGTTGTTGCGGGTCATGTATGGTAGATCGCCATTCGTGCAATTTAGTGTTGTCGTTGTAAATTATCTGTAGTGCTTAGAATCTTGGGGACAGATAGTCCCGTCATTGCAAATTTGTAACGTTGGGTGGAACAGTGCGGGAAGCACTTGCCTTTTTTTGTACTTGATGGTCTCTCTCTCTCTCTCTCTCTCTCACACACACACACACACACACACACACACGCACACACACACACACAAGCAGAGCAGAATGTTTCGGTTTGTCATGACGTGGATTGAACATGTGTTATGGAGATGAAGATGTGGTCTTCGCTG